TGAGGGTTGCGATCCCGTTACCGGTCACGAAGAAAGACAAAAAGGAAAAAAAAAAAAAGAAATGTGACATTTATAGGGTGCAACGAGTTGGAGTTTTACCTGTCTTATCTTAACCTAGCAACCCTGGGGAATACCCATAAATGCTCCTATTTTACAAAGGAAGAAACAGACTTAAAAAGGTTGAGTCACCTGCCCCTGGTCCTATATGGCAGAACCAAGATCGAAGCCCAGTTGTGTGTGATGAACTTAGCCTGTTCTCTTTAAACTTCTGAATGCTGGCTAGCTAGATATCTCAACTTAGGTAGATTGCATTTTCTCTCCAAGACTACTTACTTATCAATATAAAAATCCCTTTCCTACCAATCCATTTTGATATGAGACTCAAATGAGCCAGATGTATGTGAAAGCAACTTACAAACTCCCTAATCTTCAAACAGAAGATTCCCAGGATCTAATGGGCCCAAAGAAACTTTTTCTAGAAACAAAAAAGAGAAAATTGGATTATGCAGAAATTTATTACTCATTTTTTAAATCCATACATTAATTCAACAAACATAGATAAATGTCTACATTATACAGCCTGACTTTTTATGGATTGACGGATGGGTGAAGGATGGAGGTACCAGACTACATCCTCCTGTTGATGAGGTCAGTCCACATTCTCATTTAAAAAATGCCCTGCCTCAGCCATGCCCTGCTGACATCTGCATCCAGTGCAGCGACAAGCACCAGGCCACTACCAGAAGTGCCCTGGCGGGGGACTAAGGGCTTCAGCCATGCCCCACCCCCCAACATCCATATCCAGCCAAGCAATGACCACTGAACTGCTGCTGGAAGTGCCCTGGGCTCATTAGCCAGGGTGTGGGCAAGGACCAAGGTCCTCAGCAACACACCCCACGTCCACATCCAGCCCAGTAACGACCACCAGGCCACCGCCAGAAGCACCCGGGCTCCCAAGCCAGGGAGGTGGGGGCCAAGGGCCTCAGCCACTCTCCACTGAAGTCTGCACCCACCCACCCATGACCGAGCCGCTGCCAGAAGCCACCTGGGCTCATCTGCTGGAATGAGGGGGGTGCCAAGGGCCTTGGCCACACCCCCTCCCTCCTTCCTCTTCCTCTCACCCTATCTCCCTCCCTTTTCTCCTCTCCTCTTCCTTCCCAACTGCTCCACAACAAAATCTTAGAATGTAAAATAATAATAATGAAAATAATGAGGAGGAGGAGGAGGAGGATGATGTTATGATAATAAAAAACATATTTAAAAATAAATTAACAAAACCAAAAAAAATTAAAAACTAAAAATGCCCTGTCTTTGAAAATAAAATGATAAATGAAACTCTTTAGGAAAGGTTTAGGGCTGGCCAGTTACTCACCTGGGAGAGCATGGTGCTGATAACACCAAGGTCAAGGGTTTGGATCCCTGTACTAGGCAGCTGCCAAAAAACAAACAAAAAAAGAAAGGTTTAATGAAAGAGTATACTATGCAGCAATTACTTGGGCCTGAAAGTATTTTTATTCAAGTTCCATATTGTGAATCACCTTTCCTTGTTGAGAATACAGACTATTTAACCCAGAATGCTAAGCAGAAATTTCATTTACTAACGAATTAACTTGAGATAAGGCGCAAGTAAGGCTAAACTTGACTCTGGCCCATCATAAATGGCAACTTTTGCTGTGTTGTATTTTTCGTCTACTCAGTGTAAAAGTATAAAAACTCTCTAAAATGGAAAGCTTAATGTTTGTTAGGAGCTACAAACCACGACCAGCCAACCGTGAGGAATCATACAGTATGACTGTGTAGAAGATATTAATGGTTTAGAAAGTGTACCTGCTGTTAATTACTTCAAACATTAATGAACTTATGCAATTTGGGTTTTTTTCTTTTCTGAGGTATTAATCTGCTTGGGCTGCCCTACAAAATAGTGCAGACTGAGTGACTCAAGCAACAAA